TCCCTCCGCCCAGGCCTGATGCCTCGGCCATAGGAGTTGACCCTCATCACCATCCGATCGCTGAATACCAATCGGTCCCTTGCCCAGGCCTAAGGCCTCTGGCCCAGTCATTAGGCCTAGGCAGGGGACCCCCAGCTCCCCGCAATCTCCCACGCTGCCCCTGCCCAGGCCTAACACCTCTGGCCGAGGCGTCCTGCCCGGGCAGCGGTGACAGGCAGCGGCAGCGGCCCGCGATCGTGGGCCCCGCTTTAGGCCCAGGCAAGGGACCCCTAGCTCCCGGGACTGCCAGCTTCGACCCTGCCCAGCTCCCATCGCTGGCTCCACCCCTACTTCCTGCTATCACTGGCCAGGGCGGCAAAGGCGCCTGATTCTCCGCTCATGGCTGGAGGGCAGGGCAAAGGCGGCCCTGGGGGCTCTTAGCGCTCCCCTGGGTTTCCAATCACTGTCAGTGGCAGGGGGCTTCTTCCTGCTTTCCCTATCGCCTCCCTGCATTGTGCCTACATATGCAAATTAACCGCCATTTTGTTGCCAATTAACTGCCATCTGAGTTGGCAGTTAATTTGCATATAGACCTGATTAGCCAATGAAAAGGGTATCGTCGTACGCCAATTACCGTGTTTCTCTTTTATTATATAGGATAATTGATACATATATATATCAATTTGGAATTGCCTTTTAAATCTGTCCTTCACATCAATTCTCTATCATCTCACCTAAATTATTGTACTATCCTCATATTTATTTCTGCCATTTCCTCATTCTAAACTATGCATAGTTTTTTCTTAAAATGCCCTGATTGTTTCTCTCTTAAATTCTTTCACAGGAGTCAGTGGTGCTTACGAATGGAACCGAGCAGCATTGTATATGAGATATGAGGTTCTTCAAAACCTTGCACTGTGTGTTAAAATTCACCTGTACAATTACTTTATGTTCCAACCACGTGCATTTCTTACCATTGTCAGAGAAAGCCACACTCCGGCATGCCTCCCTAAACTGCCACAGGGCTGCTCTCTCCGACTGCCATGCCCCTGTCCTTTCTCTGTTGGCCTGCTCCCATCTGTCCTGTCACAGGAAGTTCAGTTCTTAGCTCACCTAAGCAGCCTTCTTGACTCACCCAGAGTAGAACACATTTTTATTTAGTTGAGCACTTTGCACATTATGTTGTGA